AAAGGTGTTCTATCAGGATGAGGTCAGGACTCTGTGCAGGCCAGTCAAGTTTGTCAACCCCAAACTCACTCATTTATGTCTTTATGGACCATGCTTTGTGCACTGGTGCGCAGTCTTGTTGGAACAAGAAGGGGCCATCCCCAAACTCTTCCCACAAAGTTATTTATTTCAGGTACTTATATAGCGCAGTCAATTTACATGTATATTGTACATTCACATCAGTCCCTAACCCTCAAGGGGCGTACAATCTAAGTTCCCTAACTCACATTCATACATACATATACTAGGGTCAATCTAGACAGGATCCAATTCACCTACCAGCATGTCTTTGGAGTGTGAGTGTGAAATGGCAATTAAAGTTTAACTTTCGCACATCTGTGGCTTTTTAAATTGCAATTAGTGTCTGTGTATAAATAGTCAATGAGTTTGGTAGCTCTCATGTGGATGCACTGAACAGGTTAGATACTGAGCAATGGGGAACAGAAAAGAACTGTCAAAAGACCTGCATAACAAGGTAATGGAACTTTATAAAGATGGAAACGAATATAAAAAGATATCAAAAGCCTTGAATATGCCAGTTAGTACTGTTCAATCACTTATTAAGAAGTGGAAAATTCAGAGATCTCTTGAAACCAAGCCAAGTTCAGCTAGAGCAAGAAAGATTGCAGTCACAACTGCCAAAGAATTGTTCGGGATACAAAAAAAAACCCCTCAGATAAGCTCAGGAGAAATACAAATATATGTAATCTTATATGGAATCAACTTATCAAAGGCACTAAATAAAGTTCATGAATAGACAATTTATAAATAATAAAAAGTTCAAAGGTGACTATAGTGCTCTGAAGGTGCCTGCTTCAGTGGTAATCCGGTGCTTGTGCAAATGGTTGTGGAAAAATAGCGCACTCACCAGACGCGCAATTCAAATGTGCATGTAAATATATCCAGATGTCCTCGAGATGGACCAGGTGGGTTATCCTCCCTCTGAAGGGTAGGTGGCATGTCAAATAATTCCAGGGCTTTAGTGATGATCCAAGTCAGCCCTTAAGGGTTGGGTGGTTGCTGCTTCCTGGATATACAGGAGATTCCCTCTCTGAATACTGGGATGGATCTGCGTTCTTGAGTGGGCGTCTGAAAATTAATACTCCGCCAGGGAGTTTAACAAGGAGATACCCATAGTGTAGTAATGTATGTAGTAATTTATTAAGGGATGAAAACTCGCAGTATAAAAGTATAAAACGATGCATCAGAATCAGCATAAATGATATGATAGGACTAACCGTCCACATTCAAAGATGGCCGCCGGACCTCCACAAGGCTCCGGCGGCGTGACATCACGGCGTAAATGGCTCCTCCTTATGCGTTTCGTGCGCACACACGTCTTCAGAGAGGATGCCAATCGTAAGGAGGAGCCAGTTACGCCGTGACGTCACATACCGCCGGAGCCTCGTGGAGGTCTGGCGGCCATCTTTGAATGTGGACGATACTTGAACAAAAATTAGTTTCATGGTTGTGTTTCCAGAAAGAAGCCTTTATTGCGCCAAAGAAACCCCGGTTACAATATGCTGACAACACCTTGACACCTCTCACAGCCTCTGGCACACTGTAATCTGGAATGACAGGACCCAAAAAGAGCTTTATGGTTACAATCATAAGCGCTATGCTTAGAAAGGGGTCAACAAGGCCTTATAGCAACAAGAATACCATCCCCATTGTGAAGCATGGTGGTGGCTCACTGATGTCGTGGGGGGGGGGGGGGTGAGCTCTAAAGGCACAGGGAATATTGTGAAAATTTAAGAGAAGACAAATGCAGCATGTTTTCAGAAAATACTGGCAGACAATTTGCATTCTTCTGCACGAAAGCTGCTCATGGGACGCTCTTGGACTTTCCAGCACGACAATGACCCTAATCATAAGGCCAAGTTAACCCTCCAGAGGTTACAGCAGAAAAAGGTGAAGGTTCTGGAGTGGCCATCACAGTCTCCTAGAAAATAACAGAAAAAACCTCTTGCGCTAAAATGGAGCCCTAACCCTCGAGCAGCTGACACTAACCTCTTACCAATATTGAGTAAAGTGAATAAATATATATAACAGTGCAGCGCTTAAAATATAAAATAATAAATAAATATATAACTCCCAATTAATACAAAACTCCCCAATGTGCAAAACAAAATAAACTATTTAAAGTACAACATATATATTCCCACTGGAAATATAAAATATATGTGAATGTGATCCGTAATAAATCAACACTCCAAACCAAAACACTCTGCTGTGAATAAAATCAACACAACAATACAACACATCACATGTCCATAAAGAGTGCACAAGTCATAATGTCCATGCAAGTGCTATCAGGTGCTCACTCCATGCAATTCCTCCATTAGCCGAAGTGCCCCCTCACCTCCTTAAATCGACCCTACAGGGTCAGCTCGCTCTGAGAATCAGAACCCCTCTGAATAGCCTCTGGATCCTGTTCACATCCACTCCCAGGTCCTCCGATATACCAAGCTCTGTCAGCCACAACCTCCGTATCATATACAAACAAAAACCTCCATAGTGTAAAACCGCATAATTTATTTGGTAAACAGTAAGGAGAAAAAATGCCCACTCACTTGTTGTTTCTTCTTTAACACAGCTCTTTACCTCATGCTATGGGTGTATTGCATGGGTATTAATACAGGGATTTCAAATATGGCCCCCACACCGGAAGTGACGTCACCGCGCTCCCGGAAATACCTCCTCGCGTACCGACGCGTTGCGTCACGCTGACACGTGACTTCCTCAGGGGAAGTTTTGTATTAATTGGGAGTTATATATTTATTTATTATTTTATATTTTAAGCGCTGCACTGTTATATATATATTCATCACAGTCTCCTGACCTTAATATCATTGAGCCACTCTGGGGAGAGCTCAAACATGCGGTTCATTCAAGACAACCAAAGACTTTGCATGACCTGGAGGTATTTTGCCAAGATGAATGGGCAGATATACCACCTGCAAGAATTCGGGGCCTCATAGACAACTAGTACAAAATACTGCACACTGTCATTGATGCTAAAGGGGGCAATACACAGGATTAGGATCTAAGGGTATGCAGACTTCTGAACAGGGGGCATTTCATTTGTTTACTTGTTGCCATGTTCTGTTTTATGATTGTACCATTCTGTTATGGCCTACAGTTTATTATAAATAATGTGAACCAGTGCTTTGGATGTAATCCCTTAATTCACCACAGCTGCTGTACCAAGTGCTATACTAATCGTATCAGCCCTCATATATATACTCTATCTTTTATACAGCGCTATTGTTTTTTGTTTAAACATGTGCAATATACAAGCATATTCTTTACAATGCTCATATCCTCAAATACAAATAAACATGATTTAATAAAGTGTCCTTCGTGCTTTAATAAAGTCTCTCTGTGCATGTAAAGTGTCCCAAGTGCTTTCAGTTATTCCAACGAATATAAAATTACCTATCACTTGGAGTATTCACTAAATTTCAAATTATGGTTCGCAGGCTCCCTTTTACATCCTCATATATATGTATAATAAAGTCATACAACTAAAAATTGGGTGCCACACCCTATGAAAAATAACTAAATATTAAATATTATAAAGTGGATATAGATGTATTATGCAGGCATAAATTTGGGTGCTTCAGATCACACATCTATATCCACTTTATAATATTTAATATTTAGTTATTTTTCATAGGGCACGGTACCCAATTTTTAGTTGTATGCTTTCAGTTATTCACAATATAATGCACAATGCCTTCAAACATATTAAAGTGTCTGTGCTCAAAAAAGTACTTCATTTCCAACAATCAGTGCCATAGGGGTTGATTTACTGAACCCTCATGCACAATGGACATTTTTACAGCAGCTATTTTTGGCTTTTGACGTTTTTTCTACAGCCAGTAAACTCCCCAGCATGTTATCGTATGTGTCCATGCACACATAGAATGTAATCAGCGTTTTTTTTGGCAGGGGCGTTTTTTGGCTGGAAAAAAAACCCAGCACTAGTGGGTTTCTAGAGGCGTTTTTTTGGGTGAAAAATGTGATAAACCGCCGCAAACTGGCGTTTTTGGACTTTTTTTGACCAAAAAAAAAATCTTTTGGTAATACAAAAAACTCTAAAAAAAAAAAACGAACTAATCCTGGCAAAACGCCGCTACATACTACGCTAAACGCATAAACGCTAAAAGAAAAGCTGAAAAACTCACGTTTTGTAACCTGACTTTACCAGCGTTATCAAAACATCCTGTGTGCACGAGGGCTGAAACTGAAGCGTGCATAATCTGGTGCAGCTATGCATGGTAGCCAATCAGCTTCTAATTTCACCTTGTTCAATCAAGCTTTGACAATAAAACCTGGAAGCTGATTGGTTTCTGTGCAGAGATGCACCAGATTTTGCACTCTCCAGTTTTAGTAAATCTTCCCCATAGTGTTCCCAAAATTCTCCACCATAAACCCAGAACACTCACCAGATTGATATGACTACCTATCACAGGTGAGTCATACAGTGCTTAGTACCATGGGTAACCACCATCAGCCTTCTTCTTGGGCCAGCTGCACTCTTTCCTTTTAAATGTCTCATACAACATGTAGGGAGAGATGGAGGGTGACTGCCATAGTGTGAAATCTTTAAAACCTTTTATTTCTTAAAAACCATTTCCACAATGCCCACTCACATTGTTAGGTGCGTACCCTTGCACTAGGGTTGCCAACTCATCCCTTTAAACACAAACACATAATAATTACAGGGGTTCTGAGGCTAATTTAATGCAGATAAGGCACTAGAGGAGTGTAATTACCACCTTAATCAGCCCCAGAACCTGTATAATTAATATGTATTCATGTTTAAAGGGATGAGGTGACAACCCTACCCTGCACCAGGATAAAACCGCGTGTTACATCATAAGCATAGGGATAACACGGATCTGGCTCTAAGCTTTCTCACCTGTATTCACCACACCCAGGGGTGGACTGACAACTCATGGGACCCTCGGGCAATAGGGGATCATGGGGCCCCTGTGTCTTTGCCCAAACTCAAAAAAGCCTATGAAAAAGGTACCAGGGGCATCTCATGGGTCCCCCTACTGACCCCAGGCCCTCAGGCAGTGCCCAAGTTTCCAAACGGTCAGTCCGCCCCTGACCACACCTGTTTCTCCTGTATTTACCACTTCCGGTGTTGCTGTGTCAGATGATGTTCCTTCCTTATACACCCCGGGGTGCAGCAGGAAGGGTCGTCCTCCCACACAGGCTCTACAGTTGAATATGAATAAAAGAAATAAAAGAAATGTGTTTTGCCTGCTCACCCATGTTTTCTTTAAAGGATAAGTTCACCTTTGGGAACATGTTACACGTTCCATCCATTTTTAGGGAGGAACATGTAACGTGTTCCCATAGCTGTAGCCTCAACACCGCCCCCCCCCCATCCCTGACAGATAATACGGGGAGAAGTTTCCCCGTACTATCTATCAAATTTGAAAACAAATCGGCCACACGGGGCTTTTCCCACGCAGCTTCGTCATTCATTCCCGGACTTCTGTGAATGAATGAATTGCATGTCCCGGCAGCCTTAGCGGCTGTCAGCTTGTCATTTTCAATGAACTACCACGGTGGTAATTCATTGAAGCTTCCTGTCAGAATATCTGCTTGACCATACATCCCGTACAGCAAGCAGATATTCTGACAGGTCTGCAGGAGACCTGCATGGCATCAGCCATCTACTGTTCGATGGTGCAATGCTTTACAAGCTCCTTTGGACAAAAATAATAAATGCACATTTTTTTACCTGCAAAGAAATGTGTATTTATTATTTTTGTCCAAAAGGTGATCTTATCCTGTCAAAATGGTACATACTATTACAAATTCTCCAAGGGTATGCAAACTTTTGAGCACAGCTGCATGTACTCATAATGTGTCTTGTCTGCCATTACCGAGTTCTGTGTTTTCCCCCTCTGAATACCAGAATGTTTCTATATTCCTAAAAAAAATGGCAAAAAAGTATATCACCTTGGGGTGTCCATTTTCCAAATGGGGTAATTTTTGGGATGTTAGTACTGTCATTTTTATTTGGTCTATTTTATAACAAGTTAAGGGAAACATTATCTTTAAATGTTAGGTATTTTTTCCATTATATAAAAAAAATGAAAAACAAAAAAACAGTGATTATTAAACACCGTAAATGAAAACATCTAAAATTAATTTGGGTTCAGCATTGAATGGCAGAGTAATTGTCAATCCAACTATCACAGCATGGAAAAATGGGCTGGTAATGAAGTGGTATTATAAGCTGGCACTCAGGTGGTTAAAGACAATCTTCCAAATCTATACAAATCAATATCTGTATAGCAAATTAGAAAAATTGAACCATGATCTACCCCATTCTTCTTCTAATGCCAAAAAGCAGTTCTTTTAAGTATAGATGTACAATTTACCCTTCTCTGCCTTCCTGAAATTCAGCATCTGATGCCTGATTGACCAAACACCAGATTCAAGCTCTGTCAGATGGCAGGGAAGGGTCCTTAGCCCTGTGTAAGCCCTCGGTGCTTGGTCAGAACTTACACAGCAAGTTTTGCAAATAGTCAAAGGTGGAAATGGCGAAAAGATTGGGAGAAATGTGCTATTTGCCCTTCTTGCCTTAAAGTGTAGTAAACCCTAACAATGAACCTCTCTTATTTTATCCCTTTTGGTCTGTTAAGCATGTCAATGAAAGTGTTTTGTTTATATCTGGTTAACATGTTCAAAAAATACCTGTCAATTCATGCTAGAAATTCATAGCTGTTACTGTACTGTATGTGTAGGCAGGGCCAACCGAAACATGGGTATAATGTTAGACTCCCAGGTCCTCCTAACAGGCCTCTTGCCCTAATTTCACATTAGTGTGAGTTCTCGCTTCCAGAGGGAGCAAATAAAGTGTACGTTCACCAAAACATGTACATTACTATGCCTGACGTGACGCTTTACACCGCATTTTTCCTGGTGAGCCAGATACCATTTCAAGGGATAGGCCTTTGATAACAAGAGACAAGTCCGATCAATTTCAAAGCTTTACTTCAACAACATCAAGGCAGACCTCTTCACAGCATACAACTTCAGGACCTACAACTTCTCAATTTTGGTAGCAGTTGTAGGTAGTTTTCCAGGTAAATATGTAGTATACAGGCAAGCACTAGTGACTTGGGCGTACCCCTGAGGACGCGCATGCGCACGAAACGTGTTGGGTGGAGCCACATTGCTGATGTCACACCGCCGCTGCCAAAGGATGGAGCGGCAGTTATTTTGGTACCTGTCATTTTTACCTTTATCACTCCACATGGATTTTTTACTCTGCTTTGTGAATTCAATAAATTACTACACTATATATATGAATTTCTGGCTCTTGTGGTTGAGCTATCTTCCCTAGGACAAGGGTTCCTCCTTCCACCTATGCCTTTGATGGAGCAGTACGATTAACCCCCTGGCTGCCTCTTCACCTCCAGATGTGATATACCTTATGCCTGTTATCATATACCTTCTGGTGAGTGTACATCCGTCCGAGATGGTTGATTCCCCTGTGTGATTGATCTCACGCTCACATCCTGCGCTTTGCAATATTGCACTTTATTAATATAAGGACATTTTTTTGAACGTAGTTGTTTGATGGACTTTTGATTACATTATTGCACAAATCAAATAAGTGCAACCGTGAATAATACTATTGATTAATTTTATTGCACTTTAGTGCACTTATTATCACATTTACTCACAGACGTTATTTTCCTGCTGATTTCCTGTTCTTTATATATTCGCAAGGTTTATATATATTTATATGTTGCACTTTATTGTTCCACTTGATACCTACAGTGGGGATCGAAAGTTTGGGCACACCCAGCTAAAAATTTGTATTAATGTGCATAAAGAAGCCAAGGAAAGATGGAAAAATCTCCAAAAGGCATCAAGTTACAGATTAGACATTCTTATAATATGTCAACAAAAGTTAGATTTTATTTCCATCATTTACACTTTCAAAATAACAGAAAAGAAAAAAATGGCGTCTGCAAAAGTTTGGGCACCCTGCAGAGTTAATATCTTGTACTGCCCCCTTTGGCAAGTATCACAGCTTGTAAACGCTTTTTGTAGCCAGCCAAGAGTCTTTCAATTCTTGTTTGAGGTATCTTTGCCCATTCTTCCTTACAAAAGTCTTCCAGTTCTTTGAGATTTCTGGGCTGTCTGTCACGCACTGCTCTTTTAAGGTCTATCCATAGATTTTCAATTATGTTGAGGTCAGGAGATTGTGAAGGCCATGGCAAAACCTTCAGTTTACGCCTCTTGATGTAATCCCCCGTGGATTTCGAGGTGTGTTTAGGATCATTATCCATTTGTAGAAGCCATCCTCTCTTTAACTTCAGCTTTTTCACAGATGGCATCAAGTTACCATCCAAAATTTGCTGACATTTTATTGAATCCATTTTTCCTTCTACTCGTGAGATGTTCCCTGTGCCACTGGCTGCAACACAACCCCAAAGCATGATTGATCCAACCCCATGCTTAACAGTTGGACAGAGGTTCTTTTCATTAAATTCTGTGCCCCTTCTTCTCCAAACGTACCTTTGCTCATTCCGGCCAAAAAGTTCAATTTTAACCTCATCGGTCCACAGAACTTGTTTCCAAAATGCATCAGGCTTGTCTATATGTTCATTTGCAAAGTTCAAACAATGATTTTTGTGGTGAGGGAACGTAGAAGAGGGTTTCTTCTGATGACTCTTCCATGAAGACCATATTTGTACAAGTATCTCTTTATAGTGGAATAGTGTACCACAACTCCAGTGTCTGCCAGATCTTTCTGGAGGGATCGTGCAGTCAAACGTGGGTTTTGAATTGTTTTTCTCACAATCCTGCGAGCTGTTCTGTCTGATATTTTTCTTGGTCTTCCAGATCTTGCTTTAACTTCCACTGTTCCTGATGACTGCCATTTCTTAATTACATTCCGAACAGAGGATATTGACATCTGAAAACGCTTTGCTATCTTCTTATAGCCTTCTCCAGCTTTGTGAGCGTCAACTATTTTCAGTTTCAGTTTTCCAGACAACTGCTTAGAAGAACCCATGGTGCTGATTGTTGGGGCAAGGTCAGATGAGTCTGGGCATTTAAAACCTTTGAGACTGGCATCACCTGGTCTTCCCAGATGATGATTGAGAACAATCCATGACACTGGCAGGTCTCAGCTTTGCAAAGGGGGCAGTGCATGCTATAAATTCTGCAGGGTGCCCAAACTTTTGCAGAAGCCATTTTTTTGTTTTCTGTTATTTTGAAAGTGTAAATGATGGAAATAAAATCTAACTATTGTTGACATATTATAAGAATGTCTAATCTGTAATTTGATGCCTTTTGGAGATTTTTCCATCTTTCCTTGGCTTCTTTATGCACATTAATACAAATTTTTAGCTGGGGTGCCCAAACTTTCGATTCCCACTGTATACTTTGTGGCTTTAGCGCTGCACCTTTTTATACATATAGTTTTCCAGGTAAGTCTGGGCAGCACAGTGGCTAAATGGTTAGCACTTCCATGTGGCAGTACTAGGGTCGTTGGTTTGAATCCCAGCCATGGCACCACCTGCCTGGAGTTTGCATGTTCTCCCTGTGCCTGTGTGGGTTTCCTCTGGGTACTCTGGTTTCCTCTAACACTCCAAAGACATGCTGGTAGGTGAGTTGGCTCCTGTGTAAATTGTCCGTAGTATGTGTATGTACGAATGTGAGTTAGGGACCTTAGATTGTATGCCCCTTGAGGGTTAGGGACTGATGTGAATGTACAATATATATGTAACAGTGCTGTGTAAATTGACGGTGCTATATAAGTACCTGGAATAAATAAATAAGTCACTCTCTGTCCTCTATTTGGCCCTGTCTTGGGTAGAAGGAACTTGCCAGGCATTCCCCAGCTGGAGAATATAATTTGCTGAAAACTCTACACCTCTGCAGAAATGGCCCCATGGGGGCACCTACGAAGTTCTAACTCCACCCACATTTCTGAACTCTCTGACTCAGCCAGCTTATTATATCCTAGGGATGAACACCACCATGTGGCCAAACTAATAATTATACAAACACCCCCTTACATATGTGTCCTGTTCACTCTTTATGTGTTATCCCAAGAAGTGCAATTGGTCCTTCCAGTTCTTACCT